TTCGCAAATAAATTTGCAAAATTTTCTGCGAATATTTTTTTGTAGGAAAATTCGCAAAAAATTTGTACGACTATCTAGTAGTGGCAATTCATACAATTAATTACATACAAAAGGAACAATAAATGAAACAGATATAATTAGGGAAACCCCCTCATACATGAGCATACAACAAACACAGGATTGGAGGCCAATCCCACTACCCAACATACGTTCCCACACCCAAAGCAAGGTTTCTCACTCCCCCTTATCTAGATAAGCAGGAGCTGAAACCAAAACAGGATCTTGCTAATCTCCAACTCTAAGTTCCCCTTGGTCTCAAGGTTATCAATAAGGTTATACGGCGGATGGCGGCAAGAACTCAGCGGAATGTCCATACCGCGAACTTGGAATGCCACACATCTCAAGTTTTACTTCAGTTAACTTTGTACGAATGAGCTGTGCACTCTTTTCCCGCCTCAGCTTTTTATCCCAAAAAATAGAAAAATGGGTTATGGCTGAGAGGGTTTTTAACAAGGCACATGTATACAATCAATAAAATAACTCATTCTCTTCCATTCATATTTTCTTAGTTTTATAACTTATTTCACTTTACACCAAAGTCGAGTTCGAACCTTGGTACAATTTATCTCGCTTTTAGTCAAGGTCGAGTACGAACCCTGAATACGCTGCGCCAAAACCCAACGTCGAGTCCGAACCTTGATGTTATTCATATTATACTAAAATTTGAGGTCGAGTTCGAACCTCGGTATGACCCACCCAAGGTCAAGTCTAAACCTTGATGATATTCATATCACACCAAAACCCGAGGTCGAATTCGAACCTCGGTATGAGCAAAGACATTTATATCACACTAAAACCCGAGGTCGAATTTGAACCTCGGTATGAGCAACCAAAGGTCGAGTTTGAACCTTGGTATCTTCAGCTCGAGGTCAAGTTTGAACCTTAATAAGTGTTACCCTACGTCAGATCAAAGTCGAGTTCGAACCCTAACATAGTCTATTTCACCCTAAAGCCAAGGTCGAGTTCGAACCTTGGTACAATTTACGGCATTCTAAAGGTTGAGTTCGAGCCTAAGAACAAATCAGTCACATCAGGCCAAAATTGAGCCCCAGAAAAGCGCAAAACGCACAAGCACAAAACACACAAGTTCGAAAAACAAAATAACTGTCGAAATTGCAAGAAAACAATGTATACACAACATTTTCATGAGTTCAATACACGAATTCAAAGGAATGAAAAATAAGCTAAACTATTACAAAAGCGGCCTAAGCAGTTATTGATACAATTTTTTAGTAATTTCTTTAATTTTTTTTCATAAAAAATATTCCTGCAGAATTTCTTGTAAAAAAATTTGCAGAAAACTTTCTTGCAAATTTTTTTTGTAGGAAACTTTCTTGCAAATTTTTTTTGCAAGAAATTTCACAAGAAAATTTCTTGTAAATTTTAAAATTTGCAAAAATATATTATCCACGAAAATATTACCTGCTAGTAAAATTTCGAAGAAAAACTCGTAGGAATAATATTTGCTGCAAATTTTAATACAAAATTTACAAAAAAGTTACATGTAATAAGAGAAATTCTAGTAATGTCTCTATTTATTTCTTTTATCAAATCATATCAATAAGTTTTTTTTTTCATTTGTCACGAGATTTTTTTTTTCTTAAAATAAAATGAACACAATAACCAGAAAAGACAAAAAGACACAATGTTAACCCAAAACTTAATTTGTTCAAAAGGGACTTAAAAGTTACAATACGGTGGTGAGTTGGCATATTTATCTTCTCCTTCGACTGTAACAAAGGGAAGGACCTTAGGCAATGGATTCAACACCAGCGAACCTGAAATCATCACTTTCAGTTCCAAGTGTTCAAGAGTTAGCATCTCAACGGCCAGAGAGAGTGCCAGCAAGGTACATAAGAGATCAAGATGGGGATGACATCATTGCCACCTACCCTTTTGATCCATCTCTTCATGTACCCTTCATAGACATGGCCAAGTTGGTCAACGCAGACACACAACAACACGAGCTTCAAAAGCTTCACCTTGCATGCAAAGACTGGGGTGTTTCTTTTCTCCTCTAGCGACCTACCAGCAAGAACATAATTACTTCCATTGTCTATTATAACTTGGACAACCTTTTCCTCTCCAATCTCCTCCACAATAGAATCCAGCAACTCAAATATCTTTTCACCGGTCTTTACATAATCAGATGCATCAACCTACCTTAAGAACATTGTCGCAGAAGAGGAGTTCACCAAAAAGTTGATTATTGATGGAACTAGGTTGAAGAATTGATGTTCAACCATGCTTCCATGCAAAGGACCGTGATGCTTCTTGAGGTATACACCTTTAGAACTCTGAAATCTCCTTTGAAGAAGCTTCAATGGAGGAGAAGTCCTTGAAGGAGGTTCGGCCAATTCCTAAAGCTTGTGAAGGAAGCTTGAGGAACCAAAGCAAAGTTGAAGAACATTGCTAGAAAACCTAGGAGAGAATTTCTCTACGGTTTAGGGACTCTTGAGTGAGAGAGAAAATCAGATTTCATTTCTCAAATTTGTTAAAAGTGAGTACAAGAGAGGTATTTACAAATATATAGGGAGAGGTAGCTTCTAGGAGAAGCTAACCTTAACCATGGTTCATTAGGAACCATGGTAAGGTAAGCTTTAACTCCCACGGTTTAGCTAGCTTGTAGGAGAAGCTAACCTTGAACATGGTTCACTTAAGAACCATGGTAAGGTTGGCTTAACCTTCCAAGGTTTAGAAGCTTGCAAAGCAAGCTTCAAACCTTGAAGAGGAGACAAGCTAATTTCGGCCAAGAACAAGGAGAAAGAGTTAGGCGGCCTTGGTTCATATTTGCTCCTTGAATTAATTCAAAATTGTTTGATTTGGTTTAGTTAGGTTCATCATATGATGATGAGACCTAGCTAAATCAAATCTATGAAAAATTAGGAGCAAAATGAGTCCAATATGCAAAATTTTGCCTAGGCCCAGTTCTGGCCCAATTACTATTCACACCCTCAAGCTTTGCTAAATGTCACCCCTTTTTCCCTACTGAAAAAATACAAAATGAATGTATCAACTAGGGAGGTTAAATCTTGCAAAAATAAATTCGCAAGAAATGTTTACTAAATGGTAGAAAAATTTCACAGATAACTTTTCCTATGGATTTTCCTGCCAATTTTAATTTGCAGGAAAAATCAAAAAAATATTTAAATTTATAAGTTTAATATTTTAAAAAAATTTAAAGTCCCACATTAGGGATGGCAATGGGGCCCCATGGGGCGGGTAATAGTAAACCCGTCCCCGCCCGACTGTATGAAAATTGGCCCCATACCCACCCCATATCCACGCAGGTATCCATTAAGCGGGTATCCATGAATTTCTTGAATACCCACGGATATCCATGGATATTTATAATTTTTTTAAAAATTAAAAAAATTATATTACAAATAATTTTAAATTATATTTAATGTCATTGAAATATTAAAAATAAAAATTCAATTTTAATTTTAAATTTGTATTTAATGTTAATTCTGTTGAAATAATAATAATAATGCAAGATAATCAATAACTTAAAATACATTAATCTTACACAAGTAAGTGAAAGTCTCATATCACAAAACTACAATAATTAAATCTCGTAATTCCAAACGTAAGTAAATAACTTAAAATACATAAATCTTATTAGTTCAATCAAAGCTAGAAACATAATCAAATTACATCCAACATAATTCTATGTAAAGAAAATAAGATGAGATTGTAGTTTTAGGGTTATGTGGTACAAGAGTAATTAGAATATTTAATAAATATTATTAAACGAGTACCCGCGGGTATGGATATCATCATGCCGGCCCCCGCCCCATTTATAAACGGGTAAAAATTATTCGTCCCCATTGTTCGCAGGTACCCAATTAGCCTATCCATTAATTATCCGTAGCAGATTTTACCCACAAATACCCGCGAGTGCTGGTATTTTTGCCATCCCTATCCCACATCGATTGCAAATAAAATAATTAAAGAATATATAAGTTGGGGTAACATTTACCTTACAAGTTGATTTGTATGGTTGAGTGTTAGACTTACAATTTACAATCTTAGAGTTTAAAAGATTATGTATCACATGTTGGAGGCGTGGAAACAAATGTTTCGGATGAATTCATTATGAGCATTTAAAAGTTGAATTATTGATACAATTTTTTAGTAATTTCTTTAATTTTTTTTCATAAAAAATATTCCTGCAGAATTTCTTGTAAAAAAATTTGCAGAAAACTTTCTTGCAAATTTTTTTTGTAGGAAACTTTCTTGCAAATTTTTTTTGCAAGAAATTTCACAAGAAAATTTCTTGTAAATTTTAAAATTTGCAAAAATATATTATCCACGAAAATATTACCTGCTAGTAAAATTTCGAAGAAAAACTCGTAGGAATAATATTTGCTGCAAATTTTAATACAAAATTTACAAAAAAGTTACATGTAATAAGAGAAATTCTAGTAATGTCTCTATTTATTTCTTTTATCAAATCATATCAATAAGTTTTTTTTTTCATTTGTCACGAGATTTTTTTTTTCTTAAAATAAAATGAACACAATAACCAGAAAAGACAAAAAGACACAATGTTAACCCAAAACTTAATTTGTTCAAAAGGGACTTAAAAGTTACAATACGGTGGTGAGTTGGCATATTTATCTTCTCCTTCGACTGTAACAAAGGGAAGGACCTTAGGCAATGGATTCAACACCAGCGAACCTGAAATCATCACTTTCAGTTCCAAGTGTTCAAGAGTTAGCATCTCAACGGCCAGAGAGAGTGCCAGCAAGGTACATAAGAGATCAAGATGGGGATGACATCATTGCCACCTACCCTTTTGATCCATCTCTTCATGTACCCTTCATAGACATGGCCAAGTTGGTCAACGCAGACACACAACAATCCTGCTGTGGTAATAGTAAATTCAGAATTTTCTCAAGTTGTTTGTTGTTGTAAAAATTAATTCTCAATTTATGAAGTTGTATGAAATAGCTAGATCGAGCTATATCTATAATGTAACTTGAAGTATTTCTATTTGATTTTATATTTTGAATCTACAATTTCAGTTCTCTAATTTCTTTTCACTTCTGGTTCTTAAAATAATCTGGAAAATATCCTTAATTCGTGGACTTTTATTCTTAGAAAAGTGAACATCAGCCAAAGTTGTGTATTTTTCCCATTTTGGTTGGGTATTAGAAAGCTAATTGAGCTGAAGACATGCTAGAGTTAAGGGAGAGATTAATTATCAAAACATTTTTACTCGATTTTCTTCATTTTTTGCCTGCAGTTGATAAATCATGGTATTCCAAGTACATCTCTTAGGAATATGGGGAATCAAGTTCAAAGATTTTTTGAGCTCCCTTTACAAGAGAAGAAGAGATGGGCACAGAGATCAGGAAGTCTTGAAGGCTATGGCCAAGCATTTGTAACCTCTGCAGACCAAAAGTTGGATTGGAATGACATGATCTTCCTCAAATGCCTCCCCATTCAGAACAGAAAATCGGATTTGTGGCCTCAAAACCCTCCTGAGTTTAGGTACATGATTACTATGTACCCGAAACTGAAGAGCATATTGATGCAAATTAGTGTTAGAATTTTTTTTTTATCAGTCGGAATCAAATGCCAGCACCAAGGTTAAAAATTAAGACTTTATGTATACTACTACAACTTAGGCTAACCCTTGTGGTTCAATTAGTGGTAGAATATTTTGATAAATCAAATAAAGAATTGCCTTAGGTCAGGATATTTATCAGTTTATGACATTATCTGTCAGGAAATGCCTCTACTTAGAGAAAAATTAGCTCTTAGCCAAGAAAATTATTCTATATAATAGCTCCACATTAATATAATGTGCTGGAGAGGATTCGGCAAATATTTTTCTTGTTTCCTTTCTCATATAGTCATATCATTCCTCTCATGTTTTTATTAGGAAAGTGATTCCAATGCAAAATATCTATTCTAATTTTTGTAAGGGTGTCCTTTTGCATTTGGTTATCAGGGAAACATTAGAGATATATTCTGAAGATATAAGGGAAGTTACAATTTCTCTTGTGAAGTTCATTACTATGTCTTTGGGGCTTCAAGACACACAGATATCAGAAAGTTTCCGAGAAGGACTATATGAAATAAGGATGAATTGCTACCCACCCTGTCCAGAGCCTGAAAGGGTACTTGGGATTGTGCCCCATGCTGACAATTCCGGGATCACTCTTTTGCTTGATTGTGCTGATTTTCCAGGGTTGCAGTTCCTCAAAGATAAAAAATGGGTCAATGTTGAACCTATAGAAGGGGCCATTGTTGCAAACATTGGCCAAATTATTGAGGTTAGTACTTAATTGTGACTCGTTAGGCAGCACATTCAACCTCAGATAGATGATTGCAGGTTTAAACCCCGGCCCAAACTAGAAAATAAAAAAGGCCCAAAACGAATAAAAAAAAGGGGCCAAAACGAAAAACAAAAAAAAAATGGCCCAAAAACGGCACCATGTCCGCCACGGACCGCCACGCCAAACCCGCCGTAACGGCCACCATCTCCAAAATGGCGAAACCCTGCCATTTTCACCCTAAACCACCATAAAGGATTGCGGCCGCCGCCGCCAGGCCGTTATGGCCCCGTTATGGCGCCGCCATAACCGTTTTTTGACAACATTGCTTGGTCTTCAGAGAGTATAGAAGAAAAGAGGTCAGAAGTGAAAAAATGTCTTTGTAGAGTGCCAAAACGTTCTATTTATAGACATCAGTAGTTGCTAGAACAACCCGTTTCAAATTTGGAATGGCCCATTCTGGACTCATACTTCATGTCCAAAATTCACATTTGGAACGGCCCGTTCCAGAATTAGAACGGCCCGTTCTGGATATGAGTTTCAACTCACAACAGCCACATTTGGAATGACCCATTCCCAAATCTGAACGACCCGTTTCGGGTTCGATGTTTACTCAAAGAATCATGTGTTGGAACGGCCCGTTCCAACCTAGTCTTTCTAGGCCATTTTAGCAGTTTGGAACGGCCCGCTCCAATTTGAGAACGACCCGTTCTAGGCTACTAAAAAAATCACAATATTATCCAAAATAATTTTTATAAATATTTATTATTAAAATACTCATAATTATTAAAAACCTTTAAAGCATTCTATAAAATCCATTAAAATATGTATAAGAAAATAACCTCCATAAATATAAAAATAAATAATAATTAACTATTATACTAGTAAAAAATTTGGGATGTTACAAATCTTGCTTTGGTGTGGGAATGTATGTTGGGTAGTGGGATTGACCCATAATACTGTGTTTGTTGTATGCTTCTTTATGAGGGATTTTCCCCAATTATATTTGTTTCTTCTATTTGCTCTTTTTATATGTAAATAAATATATGATTTGAGATCTCTATGGGTTCCTATGGGAAATCCTAAGAAAATGCATTAGTGATTGTAAGAGGAGATTGTTTAAAGAGGTAATTGTATGAGTAAATTATATTATTTTAAATGTTTATTGTATGAATTAGAGTGCTCTGTGGGTTCCTTTGGGAACACTATTAGAAACAGACAAATTTTAAATATTTTCTGTTGTGTTCCTTGTTGTTTGCGGAGTGTAAATATGTGTTTAATTTTAAAAATAGACAAGTTTTAATATGGATTAGAGTGCTCTGTGAAAATTGTGAATATGGTAATGTGATATAATGATGTGATATGATAATGTGATATGATAATGTGATATGATAATGAGACATGATAACATGATATGGTGATGTGATATGATAATGTGTTATAATGATGAGACATGATAATATGATGTGGGAATGAGACATGAAAATGTGATATGAGAAAAGAATGGAGTCTTGATTGACATGCATCATGTGCATAAATGTTTTTAAGGATACGATATGGAATACACCGCCAGAGAAGGCCCCCTAGTGTAAAAGCTTTGGGAATTAATCCTTGGGAATAACTTGTTTGTAAGTCCCAGTTCTTAGAAAAGAATGGCACAATCCAAGAGGGGGGGTGAATTGGATTCAATGACCCTTTAAAAATTTATCAGAGTATTTTGGATCTTAATTTCAATCAAAACTTTTCTATGATAGAATTTCCAAATGAAGCTCTTCTAAAGACTTGTTACAAAAATATGAATGCAATATACTCACTTGATTACAACATAATGAGGTTCAACAATAATGTTCAATTACAGATTTAAACCATCAAGATTCACATACACTTGTTAATCAAGTTTTATCTTCTTTAAAGTTTAACCAAGAAATTACACAAAGTAAAAGATAAGGTAGAAGAAGATTGCACAAGTCTTTTATACTGGTTCAGCCACTCCACTTGTGACCTACATCCAGTCCTTAATCACCACCTGATTAAGATTTGTTCCACTATCTTTAAGCAAGAAGGTTTACAAGCACACACACATGCATATACTTCAATACTAAAAGATAACCACTTTCTTGACCCCAAGAAAGCACCCCTTGTAGAACCCACTACAAGAAACCTTACCACTTGAGAAACCCTTCTCAAGATTTTCCACAAAGATTCACAAAGAATAAAAGGAACGAATTCACCTGGAATTCTTGAACAAATCTTTATCTTCCCCTTTCAAGAATATGATGATGATGATCTTCTAACAAAGCTTTTCACAAACGTTTTCACTCTTGGATTTCACAAAGAAAACTCTCCAAGATGTCACAAAGACTCACAAAAACGTTTTTCACAAATTGATTATCAGTTCTAACTCCATGTCTGAAGTTTCTCAAAGTTCAAACTATTTATAAAAGTTTCAGACACAGATAATCGATTATTTTAAAGAATAATCGATTATTTTGTTCTTCAGATTTTCTGGAAATCAACCAAGAACAATATAATCGATTATTTAGCTGGATAATTGATTATTCCAGAGAGTTGTTCCTGGGATAATCGATTATTTTGGCGAATAATCGATTATTACAGCAAGGCATTCCACTTAGCCTATTAGCTGGAATAATCGATTATATTTAATGATAATCGATTATTTTGAGTTAGTTTTAAAACTTCATTTTATACTTCAAAATAAGTTTCCAATCTTTTTAATTCATCATCATATACTCTTTACTTAGTTTAGATATAGATTTGCTTATGCACAAAGCATACAAAGCACACAAAATATAAAAACACATTCAAAACAATTTATTTCCTAAGTTCTATTACATAGCTCCATTTCATAGCATTTTCTTGACTCTTCCTTGACTTTGTTTTGGTGCTCCAAGTTGTTGTTGTATACTTGTTGTGATCATCAAAACTCCTTTAAGATTCAAGTTCTCCTAAGCTCAACACCTGTCTCGTCCATTGTGTACATGGGATGTATCTTGCGCGGCTTATGATGGAATCATGCTTAAGATGGCAAGAGGTGACAACCTAAAAGATCCAAGAGGAGTGGGCTAGGCATGGAGGTTTGGGCTAGTCAAGGCCCAAATGGGCCCGATGGGCTTGGAAGGCCCAAGTCAAGCTTCTCATGGGCCTATCTTCATATGACATTCTTCTTATGTTTTATTAGTATAGTTTCCATATATTTTGGTCTTGTATTTTGGACCACATAGTGTAGCATTTGTTGGGTCTAGTTTTGGGCTTCATGGGCCTTTGGGCTTTTGGTACCCAATATTGGACTCATTTTCATTCTTGTAATTTTTCCTTTCCATTGTATTTGATTGGCCATTGTATTTAGGCCATTAGAATAGGTTTGTACAAGAATTACTTGAATAGGAAAATTAGGTTAGAACTAGGTTTAATTTGGAGGTCATTTAAGTTACATTTGAGTCACATGTTTAACACCATTGGTGGCTGAACATGTGACACTCAAATTAACCCTAAATGACCCTCAAATCAAACTTAGATGCACCTTAGTACCTAGACTCACGGCCAAGTACATGTGAGCCAAAATTTGAATTCAAATTTCAAGTTTGAATTCAAATTTTAGGCGCCACAATTTGGCTTTGTCTTAGGCGCCAAGGAGTGCAATTCCGGAAAGCCTACTTAAGTGATACTTCTAGCCATTTGTAAACGCTTTTGAGTTATTGAAATTTGAGAGCATATTTTGCCAAGTTTCTTCCAAAAGTCACCGAGAAAGAAAGAAAGAGAGAGTTCCTTCAAAACCCTATAAACTAACCTAGTTCCTACCTTTTGAAGTGAGCAATCTCTTGATTGCTTAAGCTTGGATGCTTCCATCCTTGGCTTAGGCCTTGTTCATCCGAAGAATTCATCCATTTCAAAGTGTTCTTGTTTCGGTTTCAATCTCCTTGAAGAGGATCCGAGCCTAGGTGAAGCTAAGGAGAGGAACATCTTCCACTTCTCCTACCTTTGCCATCAGCTTAGCTATCTCGACAAGACTCTAGTAGTATGTCCTTCTAGTGAGAGTACGCAGAGGGTGTGACCTGACATGTACTCCTAGACTACTCTTCGTGTATTGCTAGCGGTAATATGTCATGTGATATGTTACTGGCACCACATGCATAATAAAATGTAGTCCGTGTATATACATGTGAATTTTAATGTTATATGAAAAATTGATATGTCTTGGATGAGTGAAATGCGATGTTATTATTAATTTATCTATGTTAAACCTGTTTTGTTTGTGTTTGACTATCTGACGTATATTTCTACACTGTGAACCAGAGTGAGATGTTTCTCAGTCCCCTTTCTCTTGTGTTGTTTTTCTTTGATTGTCATACAGGTGATTATCAGCATGAGGCTGAGGATGTTGGTGATGAAGCTTAAGCTTCTATGTTGGGATTTGCTCTGATAGAACATGTGACATCGGGGCGTAGATATGATTAGATTAGGATGTTGTTTTTGTTAAATTATTTTGAAAATTTTAACCTTATTTCTTTTGTAATTACCACTGATTACGTTATTTTTTTAAGTTCTGAATGTGGTGCTCTCTATCTGAACATATATTTGGTATTTTAAAAATGAAAGACTATGTTATTAAAATTTTATTATTTGTATTATGATATGCGGGGTAGAGGGTGTCACACATGTGATATTGATTATGCATGTGTATTGTTTATATGTGATTTGTCCTTATGACTTGTATAATATTTGTTGTGTGTGTGCTGTCTAACATTTATTTCTCACTCCCTTGTTACTTTTTGCATGTGTTTAAATTGTGTTGTAGGTGATCATCAACATGGAGATGTTGGTGATGAGACATATACTTTAGTTGGGCGTGATTTGATAGGATATGTGACATTGGGGCATAGCTAAGCTTGATTTAGGATTTCATTATTGTTATTTTGTTTTGGAAAATCTCATGTATCATTTTCTTGTAAATTTCGCATTTGACCATGATTTACATTTACAAATATAAATTTTCTATTCTTATGTTAGTGGAACCATTGTTTTAATTCAAAAAATTTTA